ACCAGAAAAATTAGAAACCTATCACCCACACTTGTGTAAAGATTCATAGAAATAGATTTACTTAGTGTCTTCCTTATATAGAAAGAGGAAACTGAATAGTCAAAACTAATAAATTATTCATAAAATTGTGGTTTTGACTCTTCAAATGCACTGTGGTGCAAAATTAATCTACTCACCTTTCTTCTCGTAATTTTTGCACTCGTTCAGCCCTTTCTCTTTTCTGTTGTTCTTCAAGAGCACATTGTTCTGCTGTGTCTTTTTGGACACGTTCATTTAAGGCATCAAAGTCTCTTGTAATGACATATAGCAGCCAATCAAGGCCTTGTGTAATGGACTTATCAACTGTCTTTCCACACCCCCAGACTGCTGAGCAAGCTTTCTAAAACAGAAATTTATTTGACTCAAAGATTAAAACTTAAAATTCTCCACACAAATCTATTCATAAACCATTAAGTATAATTACTGGCAAATCAAAATTAAGCCATTTAAATTAATATGAAGCATATGCTTATTTAACTTACAAAACACACCTTTACAATAATCACTAACATTAGCACCTAGGAGTTGAAATATTTTACAGATAATACCTGTGAGCTGTAAGAGACATTATGACCTAAGAAATTGACAGTGCCAGTTATCATTTTAAACAAGTTTATTGGAAGACAAAATTGAACTGCCATAATAAAAATATCCCTACTTATTAAAAATACCAGAGCACTTACAGCAGTAAACATCCATAAGATGGACAGTCTAATCATCATTTTATGAAACTAGAAAAAATGATTGAGTCCCCTGTCCATCTTACTTCAGATTACATGAGAACTCTCCTGAAATGATTTTTCAAAATTCATTATAAATCTCTTATATGTTTAAATTTTGTATTTATACCTTTTCTTTCCCATTTTACAATATTCACAGCATGACACTGTTGGTATAGCTTACAGATCTATCGGCAATATCTTAAACAAAAGGCAAATGTGAAAATCTTTGAAATTATGAAGGATAGTTTATGGAAGTCAGTAACAAACAGAAAACAAATACTACAGTATTAAGTAATATCAACAGAACAGTGAGAGTGTGATTTCACGGGTTAAAGAAAAATCTTTTAAAAGAGTGCTTGCTAATTGCTATCACCTTTATAAAAACTAAGTTATACTGAACATATTTCAAAGAAAATGAAACAAACTTGTTTCATTTTTCACAGAAAAAAACAAAATCAAACTTACTATCTCACATGGGCACTTATACTTATTGACCAGTTTTTGCAGAGACAGACACTCAATCAGTTCACCTTCTCTTAAAGCATCTTCCTTGTCTTGTTTATTTGCCAACCTACAGAGAAAAATGAAGTAATTTTACAGCAAATATATAATCTTGATGGCAACATAAAAATATTTTGACCATGTTCTTCTATGCCAAAGTTTTAAATCTACTGAATACAGAGCATACTGGTTTTAGAAAGCATTGCAGTGTCAATTTCACTTTTCCTTTATATATTATTGCTAAAATAAAGTTTGTAAAATCTGGCCTACAAAAGGGAAATCAGGTAAAGAGAACTTTCAAAAAAACATAAACAACAGATCAAAAGGCCAGCAAAAAAAAAAGCTACCGACAGAAAAAGAAGTCGACTACTTTCTACAGCCTACAGGCATAAATTATGTCCATATCTTCTTAAAATACAAACTATATCATGTTTTAAATGTCCAAATATTCATTCTAAGCTTGAAATATTTGAGCTCACCTACATTTCTAATGGGTGAACATGTAGATGACCAATTTACTAGAAACATCAGGCCACTGATAATTTACTTGACACAACAAAAAGAAAAGTTCTAAAGAAAAACGGGAATTGCTACAAAATACCACTATTTGCTTACTAGACGGCAGAGGTAAAAAAAATTTAATGACACTGTATCTGGGTTAGGGTTGATATATTCTTTAGGCAAAGATATTTCTTAAAAATACATAGAATAATAAATCTAATGAACCCCTATCACCTGTCATATGTGTCAATCTTGCTCATCTATGTACATTCCACTTTTCCCCTAGTCACATCATTTCACCCAAAACCAAAATGCCACTATCACACCCAACAAAGTCAACAGTAGGTCTTCAATATCACTCAATTCACTCAATATTTCCTGCATATCATTTTACAAGTGTTATGTTCAAATTCAGATCCAAACATACACATTACAATTTATCACTCAAGTCTTTTTGAATCTATATACCTGCCCTCTGCCATCTCCACCACCTCTTCTCTTCCCATGACATTTATTTGTAGAATAAAACAAGTCACTTTTCTTTAGAATTTCCCATGTTTCGGATTTGGCTAACATCTCCTTCATGAGCTCTTTTAACATACATACCCTGTTATTTCCTGGTAGTTAGATGCACAGGCTAGATAAGTTTTAGGTTGAAATCTCCTGGCAAGCATATTTCACAGGTGGTGCTGGTACTTACTTAGGAGGCACATAATATCACTTTTATATAGCATTATATTTTAGTGATTAAAATTTTTAACTGGGAGTCAGGCTGATCCATCCAAAATAAAGTTCCTTATTAACCTTTCATCTAATGATTTCAGCATCCATTGATAACTTTTGCTTTAATTCCATTATTTTATAAGAGTTTATGAAATAGTGACCTTTCTAGTTCTGTATTCCTTCTACATTTAATAGCAGGGTTTTTGATTAAAATAAAAAAGAAAGAAAGCTTTCTTCAACTGCTTAGTGACTCAAATACAATTCATAGAAAAAAATCAAGATAAACAGTTGATTCTTTATTTTCTAATTTTCATAATAATGAATTGGTGCCCTAGCAACCTCCAAAGGTGATCGAGTTGCTTTGTTTCTTTGTCTTGTTTTGGAGGACAGCATCATGAACTCATGAATTTTTAATACATATTTGATGTGTTTCAATTTATTGAAATTATTGTTCTTTTTGAGGCTTAAAGTTACCCACTGGTCAGTGGGCATCCCCTTCAGGTGGGCATTTGGGTCCTTTTGGTACAACTCCAATAGTCTTTGATAGTTTCTTTGCTTTATACTATGAAACAATGTCCCAGACCTGGAATCATCCATTTCCCTAGAAGCCCTGGTCCTTTAGGTGGGAAATGATATTTTAAAGACCACAATCTGGATGCTATGGATATTCATTGCTATTGATTTGCCACTGTTTCTAGACCCTTTCAGTGAACAAAGCTAGAAAATGCAGTTTTTTAGAAAGAAAAAAGGTAAATCATGAGTTCATATTGATTTTTCATTTCAAATCAAATATTAATAAGTTTCTACTTAGCTTTTTCGATATTATTTGTATGTCTTTTTAATTATGCTGGAAACCATAGTCCTAATGGCATTGATATTAACTATTTGCTTTATCCTACTATATGAGGATACTTCAAAAGGTCATTGAAAAATAGATTTGAAAGATATTATGAATATTTCCACGTACTTTCTGAAGACCCTGCATATATGGGAGCTTTAACATAGTAATATCAATATTACTAAAAATAAGACTACTATATGAAGGTTAAGATCTCACTGTGGTTACTTTTGTCTCTAAGATATATTTATCTGACTAGAGATACATAGACAAAATACTGAATTTTATTTTATTTTATTTTATTTGTCCTTTTTGTGACCGGTAAGGGGATCGCAACCCTTGGCTTGGTGTCTCCC